ATGTTTAATATGGATCTTGTGAGCAGATGTGATCTCCCTCACTGAGTAATTCTTCCCAGAATTGCTCACCCCTCTTTTTCCTCTTTTCAGTGTATGCAGGTGTATTTCTTGTGTTGCAAGTTAGGGTGCGAGACCTAGGGTTCAAAGTGATCGGGGAACGGGTGTTACAATCATGATACCAGCATTTTTATCCTTCCACGAACATTTGTAGTGGGATCAGCCTGCACATGAAAAAAACATTCAATCTATAGTTTTTGAGAACAACAAGGTAGGTTCATACTTTCCAGGTGATACACTGAAAAACCCAATCCCTTCGAAAATTTGCTTAGAGTGGGACAGTTCTTTTATTCAAAAAGCATTCATCTGACAGGGTGAAAATTTACCAGAGCCCGGGATATCAAAAAGTTCATTACAGCAGGGAGGTCCTTTGTTGTCAACACATCGGCAGAAGATTGCAGTGCCAAGGAAATTCCTTGCTTGCCTATCCAACCAGCATTGAAGACATCCTCGCCGACATAACATCACCTATGTAACGAGAAAATAAAGTTGAAAGAGAGAGCTTCAAAACTAATTTATATTTAAAAACAATACTTATTATTACAAGAACTAATGATTCAAGAAATGCAGTTACCTGGATTGATATCGGACTTTCATGCAAAGCAGTAGCCAACGCTTTTGCTGTAGCTAAGACTGACGTTGATATTCATATGAAAAAGTGCTTTACAGATTCCTAAATAGTCGATCCACAAATCATAGCCATAACGGGCCCAAATACCATGTGCTGCTTCAGCCACTGACTGCAAGCATTAAGATCACAGAGCATCAGATGGTGCAAAAACGAAAACGATAAGAACACAAGAAGTGCTTGCTCCAGCCAAGTACATCAATTAAATAGTTAAGACACAGCAACTATTTATATAAACAGCAATTATAAACAATAGAAAAAGGACCTAGTAACAACCAACAGGAAACAAAACTAGATATTACATCAACTTGTGAAGATTAACCTTTTCAGGATCATGAAGAGCTATCGAAATGTTTGTTGTTGAATCAACATTCTGAAGAAGGGAGCATTTGGAAACAGCTACACTACTGCGTTGAACACAATATGCAGCTAACTAATCGTATACCCAAAACGATTCTAAGAACTCAAGAAAAAATGAGTAAAATATTACTTGCTACTCTATGTCTCACTGGAATAAACAAGGCGCATAAGAGTAGTGATGACAGTCTCCATTTTTGGGCGAGACTGAGGACCATCAGCAATAAAATCCCTCGCAGTGACAAGTTTCTCCCTTGAGGAGGTTACCAATATAATACCAAAGTGATCCAGAATGACAGGTTACGCAAGTTGCAAGTAGTTCTGGAATTGAGCACCCAAGGATCTTGGTAAGAACTACAATTAAAAATCAAAAGTTTTAAGAAATTTTTTACAAAAGTGAAGTTTGAGAAGCATTTGAAGAGCGAATGAGTTCACCTTGAAAGGTGTAAGGTATCCATCGCGGACCAATACTTTTTTATGAGAACAATACGAATGAGATTGGGAAGTACATCCTCAAATTACTTTGTCCCAAGAGCTTCTAAAACCTGAAGGGAAACATAAGGAGGAAAAATGCAAATAGATGCACTTTGAATGGTTGGAAATAACTGGCTAAACAGAAGCTCTGATTAATGATTATCCAAATATGTCAATACACCATATCAGTTTGAAATGAACTTTGATCAAAACATTACAAAATGGTACTGGATAAACCAAAGACAAAAGTATATAAACAAAGACGTATCATTTAGTTTAATGTAGAGTAAGAGAATTCTGAGAGAGTCCAAGAGAAGCTATCCACTTAAACTTGAATATTAACGTCCTAATACTCCTGCAAAGACGTACTGGAAAATGTGAGGATAACAAGATTAAGTATATAGTCTTAAAGCTAACAAGTAGTTCCAAGACACAAGATTAAGCTTAGGTGTTTTGACTAAAAGAAACTAAGCCACACAAGACAATCAGTAAGAGCACAAGAAGTGCTAGCTCCAGCCAAGTACAACAATTTAATAGTTAAGACACAGCAAGTACTAAAATGCTAGTAGTGCTCCTTTTCGCCATTTTGTAGAATTCCTGTAGCCAAAACACAAACATCTTAGCGGAAGTATAGAATGCTAGAATGAGAACATTTATCATACAGGTATGGAAGAGAGAAAGAAACGAAAATCAATAATCACACCTTGAGCCTAGATTGGTAATGAAGTTGTCCTGATAGATTGTCAAGTGCAGCAATGATTAATTCCCAAGTAGGAAAATGGCCAGATAAGTAGAAGAACGTTTTCAATACATCAAAAACAGTAACAATAACATGAGAAAAATACCTGTGACAAGGATCTATAGCTGAAATAGTGCATAAAAACAGCATGCGTTTCTCCTAGTAGTGACTATGATGTTAACACGATATGCAGGTACTGATTGTATACTCAAAACGATTCTAAGAACTCAAGAAAAAATGAGTAAAATATTACTTGCAACTACTTGAAGTTTCAAACCCTATAAATACAAGAACGTTCTCACTGTGATAAACAAGGTGCATAAGAGTAATGATGACAAGTTTCGCAGTGACAAGTTTCTCCCTTGAGGAGGTTACCAATATAATACCAGAGTTGGAAACGGACACAGAAATGGAAAAAATTAACTAATGAGGTACTTCAATCTTTTGTAAACGCCTAAAAGCAGTCCACTGTTACAGATGCTAGTAGTATGACATTGAAATATTTAGGAGAAGCATCACACCTACAATTTGTAGCTATACAATGCTATGGGAATACGGTATTTCGATCAAGTTAGTCATAAAGAATTGTCCCAGGAATAGGCTAGCAAGAATAAAACCATAAACTGCCAAAGGTACTACCATCATCAGAGAATACAGATTGCCAAGTAACGTTGAATCATAATATTGTTTCTAGAAGTGACTGAAGCGTAAGAATATAACAAAAAGCCTCTTCCTTCTGGCTTTGTTGACCACTGTTTTTCTCTCACATTCCTGCTTCCCCCCTTGCTATGTATAGCAGCACCAAACCTTGTACAAAACACTATATTTAATAAATATCCAACGCCAGCATACACTATCTATGACAAAACTAGACAATCAGAATATTTAGATTTGTAAAAAACTCACTGGAATGTGTACGCTTCCTCATTTGGAAACGATACTCCCTAGTTTCCAAAAGATGGCGGAGTATGGTCCCGTACTCTGACTGAAAGGTAGGTGTATCATGTACATGTGTAAAGAGGGTTTTAGCCATATAAAGCAAATGATATAGCCTATGTTGCATGGAAACTCMAAACAAATTGCGTTTCGCGTTTTGAAAACGTTTCGAAAACGGAAACGCGATGGAAACGCGGGGAAACGCGATGGAAACGCGTTTTGGGGAATATTCCATTTTGGAAACGTTTTGAAAACACGTTTCCAGCACTGGAAACGTGGTTGGAAACGTAATTTTTTGTTTTGGAAACAAATTGGATAATAGATTGAAAATATAGGGACTTATTTGTTATTTTTAATAAG